GGGGGGGGGGGGGGGGGGGGAGGTGGGACATAAAAGGAGACATAGAGATACACACTATAAGCAGGTCTAGAACTACCTCTCCTCCTGAATTTCACAGCCTGAATTTACAGTTTCCATGAAAGACAAATGCTTATACTGTATTCTGTTTTCAGTTAAGATTTTAATCTTCTGTAATTTACTATAACACAGAATGTCCTTCCTGTATGTTAGAATAATTATTTACATCTTTTTTTGTTACCCAAGACAAGCCCTCTTAAAACTGGAGGCATACTTTACACTTATACTCAAAATGTGTTACAATATACAATTAGTTGGTTCCTATAAAACAATAGGTAATATCTTGCAATTGTAGGATAGCCTGTAGTAATATTGTCTGTGTTGAATCACCAGTAGTGACGTTTCAGAGATTCTTTCAGAGCTGTTAGCTGTAATGTTGATTGTAGACGGAACCTTAGTATGCCCTCACTCCCTTTCTTGAGATAATATCAATGTCCATGTATTTCATGGGCAGGAGAGACAAACATAGATACATCCAAACTTAGTGGTTTCATTTTGAAGGCAGGCTTCAGCCTAGCACAAATTTTGAGAATTCACTGTTGTCCAGGTCAGAACAATCTACAAGACCCTTAGGAATTCAACTTAGCAGAACCAGTCAATCTGATGCTTCACAAATTCACCACAGTGGTCTACCAAATGATCTTCCAGCCCATCCTTTTTCCTAAAGGGGTCCAGAGACTCTAATGTGGTAAATGTAGAAAAGAATTGGTGTGTCACTGTTCTAACTGCCACAATGTGCACTTGAACCTGTGTTTGTATTTTTCTTTGGTTGTATTCACTCTCGGATGTACATAGCACCACTCCAATTATCTCTTTTGCCACTTATCTCCTCCTGATACCAAGCAGCCCTCTTGGACTAGTGGACAGGGAGAGGCTACTTAGGAACAATCTTACTAAGCACTGTGACAGTCTCTTATTTTAGAAGCCAACCAGGTGTCCAGTAGAACTGACCACCAGTGGAGAAATCCCCAAGCTTTAAACCACGCGGATCAGACTGCAAAACCAACCAAAATGATCCATCTTTCCTATGAAGAACAGTGGCATTGGTTACTTGCATGGAAATCAAAGAGTAATCTGACCATGAGAAGTGATTGAATGTGATGGCCCCCTACCTCAGAGCACAGTTCAATTGTTCTGTGTGTGTGTGTGTGTGTGTGTGTTTTAAACCCTACATGGATCTGGTCCATGATAACCTGGGATAAGCTGATGGTTGTTACAGCAGTCATGAAATCAGGAGGTGCTTTTGACCCCTCCCCAAAGTAAGGCAAATCAAAGTTCCAAGGACAAGAAGATGGGAAATCCATCTCCAACATGACAGTGAGGTTCAGCGGCTTGAATAGAGGTGAAACTATGCAGTATGGAGGGCTATTCAATAGCAACATTCCCAGTTTGTTTCTTGTGTTCAGCCTCACAAACAGAACCTTATGTCTAGTCGCTGGCAACCTACAGTCTCCCAAATGACTCCCACCATGGTGACGCATCTGATGCAACACCTGGAACTCTGATGATCACATTTCAGAAAGGGGAACATCCTCCTTCTCAGCTGTCAAGGTCTCAGTAATATGGCCAGGTCTACCATTTCATCCATGGTAAATCATGGATGAATCTGCATTTATTACAAGCAAACCCGGTTAGAGCCCATTGGTTAGAGCCCAAGACACCCCATGATCTGGTTCTTGGCTCACAAGCAAAGGCAATAGAACCAGAAGCAAAGATTGGCCTCAGATTTGTAATCTCTCTTTCATTAGAGTGGCCTGGCCAATGCTTCCCATCTACTCCTGCCCATGTCTACAATCTTTTCCTCTCTACCTCCTTTGACTTTGCTGTCTCCAATCCCCCATGGCACATCTATACTATACTATACCATATTATCCAGCCCCCAGAGCCTGTACTAACACCATACCACCCACTCTCTCTGTAGCCACTCTCTAACCACATTTTCAAACCCTCACCCCTCCAACAAATTCTCTCACCCAACCTCCTTCTGCCTCCAGATTCT